GCCATTAAAAGTTATCAAAATCATGACGCTGCACCCCAAGGTTTAGGTTCTAGGGGGCGCCAAAGATAACACTAAAATCCACATATTTAAAAGTCTTATAACTTTTTATTTTTGTCCTCACTGGCCTCCAAGTTTTCTAGGATGATGCAATGTCCAGCCATCAACACATTTGTGAAGGAATTTTTACTCCCCAAAAGAGCGCCCCCCCATGGCAGGAGAAAAAAGTCCATTTTTTCTTGTCCCCTAAGGTGAAAATACACATTGTTGAGTGTCAGGCCTATACGCTTTGTCAAAATGACACAAAAATTGACACACACATGTAACTCAATAAGATCTACAAAAAAGTCCATGCGCGCGTATCTGTCAAATGTACAGTTAAAGGGTTATTCCGCATTTTTTGCCGATACGCACACATTGGAATTTCGCTAACTCCTCCGAAGGCTTTCGTTCCACCGGCACCACATTTGCTCAGGCCAATCTACACCCCATGGCCATTAAAAGTTATTCAAATCATGATGCTGCACCCCATGGTTTAGGTTCTAGGGGGCGCCAAAAATAACCCAAAAATCCACATTCTTAAATGTTTTATAACTTTTTATTTTTGTCCTCACTGGCCTCCAAGTTTTCTAGGATGATGCAATGTCCAGCCATCAACACATTTGTGAAGGAATTTTTACTCCCCAAAAGAGCGCCCCCCCATGGTAGGAGAAAAAAGTCAATTTTTTCTTGTCCCCTTACATAAAAATACACATTGTTGAGTGTCACGCCTGTACGCTTTGTCATATTGACACAAAAATTGACAATCATGTGTATCTCAATTAGATCTACGAAAAAGTCAAAGAGCGCGTATCTGTATAATGTACGGTTAAAGGGCTATTTTGCATTTTTTGCCGATTCGCACACATTGGAATGTGGCTATCTCCTCCTAAGGCTTTCGTCCCACCGATACCAAATTTGCTCAGGGCAATCTACACCCCATGCCCATTCAAAGTTGTAAAAATCATGACGCTGCACCCCACGGTTTACGTTCTAGGGGGCGCCAAAGATGACCCAAAAATCCACATTCTTAAAAGTCATTTTGGCCACTGCAGGAGTACAGAGTACTGCAGTTCTAGGGGGCGCCAAAGATGACCCAAAAATCCACATTCTTAAAAGTCTTTTTGGCCACTGCAGGAGTACAGAGTACTGCAGGATACACACACATATACACACACGCCAACATACACACACACACACACACACACACACACACACACACACAGACACACACACACACTCAGAGTCTGTTTTTTAGCACCTGCAAAAACATGCTGTTTACATATTTGACAAGAATGCAGAGGCTTCCTTTTGCCCCTGAAAAAAATCAAATTTCAAACACAACTTGACTGTTCATTTCTCCAAAAGACAACCATGAAGCTCCATTTCAAACCTGAAGCAGATAGTTGGTGCATGTGTACAGTAACCTGAGGGGAGTGAGGTGACTATTTCTGAGGAGAACATGAGCAGTGAAGATTCACCTTGGAGCTAGAACAGGGACGTGCACATGATTATACAGGGGCAGGGGCTCAAGATTTTTCCAGTCATTTATACAATATGGAAATTAATGTGAAATTAAACCACAAATATGTGTGATGAACTGTTTTTAAAACTTAAACTTCAAATAAAAATTGTAAACTTCAAAACATATGCAAATTTTTAACAAAGAACATAGTAATTTACCTCTATTTACATCAAAATGCAGGCAATGGCCCAGGCGTTCTTTGTAAAATTATTTACAAAACACTGTATAGTCTCACAAATGTCACTTTTTATTTATGCCACTACAAAAAAACATGATGTAAATGATGCATGATGTAAAACATGATGTAAAAAACTTGTGTAGATCCTCCTCTATGTCAGTCCATGTGTAATTTTTCCATAATTCTTTGTTTTTTGCAGCATTTTTGTTAGTGTAACTGCAGATTGTGCTGACAGTGTCTATGGCACAAAAAAAAAAAAAAATTAAAATGCCTCAACATGAACCCCTGGTGGTCTCTGAGGGTGAAACCTGCTAACTGCTGCAGCTCTGTCAGCTTCAGTCTCCCATGCAGAGCTCGGAGCGCATGTGTGGCTCTGCACCCTTAGCAGCGTTGCTAACTCCTCAGTAAGGAAAGCCTGCTTCATGTCAGAGTCTCTAAACTCCAGAAGAAGTCGATAAAAGTCACTTTCTTTCTAAAAAAAAGTCGTTAGGGGGTCTGAAAAGTCATTGAATCTAACAACAAAGTCGCTAGGTTTGCAACTACGTGTCCCAGACTGCATCCCTGCTGAGAGTCCCTCCCTCCCTTCTCATGTTGCAGGAAGAACGTAAGCGCCCGCCCCTTGTCAATCAGTCACCATATAATTTTGGATTGGTTGTTGTGGTGAAGTTTTCCACCAATAGGAGAGATGTTGTGGTGTGTTTTTTTTTTCCTTTGGCAAGCCTTTTCCGCCTGTAAGACCTGTCGCTAATGTCTGCATGCTATGTTTTCCTGTCTCATACAGCGCGATCGAGCGCCGAACGTGATCAAAATAAGCAGAAAAAAAGTATCGCGGACATAATTTATCATAACTCTGGTTTTATTTGGCCTATCAACACAATTTAAAAACTGGTATATAGGTTGAGGTCCTCACTTTTGAGATAAGTTGAAACGGAGAGTCAACGAGGCTCCGTCTTGCAGCTACACCCGGTTAAATATGTCATGTGATTTGAACGCACACATAGACACACACACACACACACACACACACACACACACACACACACACACTCAGAGTCTGGTTTTTAGCACCTGCAAAAACATGCTATTTACATATTTGACAAGAATGCAGAGGCTCCTTTTGCCCCTGAAAAAAATCAAATTTCAAACACAACTTGACTGGTCATTTCTCCAAAAGACAACCATGAAGCTCCATCCAAACCTGAAGCAGGCAGTTGGTGCATGTGTACAGTAACCTGAGGGGAGTGAGGTGAGTGCTTCTGAGGAGAACATGAGCAGTGAAGATTCACCTTGGAGCTAGAACAGAGACATGCACATGATTATACAGGGGCAGGGGCTCAAGTTTTTTCCAGTCGTTTATACAATATGGAAATTAATGTGAAATTAAAACACAAAGTATTTATAGAAAGGTAATGACTGTCCTGTGTAGGTGACAGTGATATCCAATAGGCTAGGCACTCACGAGGCTGGCTGTGGCAAGTGTAAGTGAAAGCAACACGCACTGGCAGGAAGAACAGCAAACGCCGATGAAGGAAAAGGGTCTTTGCAGTGATGGGCGTTACCAGAGAGGGCGATGGCCAGAGGACACAAATGGGACGGGGAGGCAGCACGTTGGGGGGGGGGGGGGGGTGGGACGCGACACGGCTCGGGCCCGCCAGTGCCCCAACGGGGTCCTAGTTATTATTATTTTTCCTCCCCTTTGAACTGGAAAATGGCCCACTTCCCACTGGCGAAAACTCATGAAATTTGGCAGGACGACCGGGCCTGGTGAAAAATTTGATATTCCGAAGTCGCCCAAACAAGAAAATGCAAAATGGCTCCATAGCGCCCCCTAAGGTGAAAATTCACACTATTGACTGTCACGCCTGTACGCTTTGTCAAAATGACACAAAAATTGACACACACATGTATCTCAATAAGATCTACAAAAAAGTCAGTGCGGGCGTATCTGTCAAATGTACGGTTACAGGGTTATTTCGCATTTTTTGCCGATCCGCACACATTGGAATTTCGCTAACTCCTCCGAAGGCTTTCGTTCCACCGGCACCACATTTGCTCAGGCCAATCTACACCCCATGGCCATTAAAAGTTATTCAAATCATGACGCTGCACCCCACGGTTTAGGTTCTAGGGGGCGCCAAAGATAACCCTAAAATCCACATATTTAAAAGTCTTATAACTTTTTATTTTTGCCCTCACTGGCCTCCAAGTTTTCTAGGATGATGCAATGTCCAGCCATCAACACATTTGTGAAGGAATTTTTACTCCCCAAAAGAGCGCCCCCCCATGGCAGGAGAAAAAAGTCCATTTTTTCTTGTCCCCTAAGGTGAAAATTCACACTATTGACTGTCACGCCTGTACGCTTTGTCAAAATGACACAAAAATTGACACACACATGTATCTCAATAAGATCTACAAAAAAGTCCATGCGCGCGTATCTGTCTAATGTACGGTTAAAGGGTTATTTCGCATTTTTTGCCGATCCGCACACATTGGAATTTCGCTAACTCCTCCGAAGGCTTTCGTTCCACCGGCACCACATTTGCTCAGGCCAATCTACACCCCATGGCCATTAAAAGTTATTCAAATCATGACGCTGCACCCCACGGTTTACGTTCTAGGGGGCGCCAAAGATAACCCAAAAATCCACATTTTTAAAAGTCTTATAACTTTTTATTTTTATCCTCACTGGCCTCCAAGTTTTCTAGGATGATGCAATGTCCAGCCATCAACACATTTGTGAAGGAATTTTTACTCCCCAAAAGAGCGCCCCCCCATGGCAGGAGAAAAAAGTCCATTTTTTCTTGTCCCCTAAGGTGAAAATACACATTGTTGACTGTCACGCCTGTACGCTTTGGCAAAATGACACAAAAATTGACAATCATGTGTATCTCAATTAGATCTACGAAAAAGTCAAAGAGCGCGTATCTGTATAATGTACGGTAAAAGGGCTATTTTGCATTTTTTGCCGATTCGCACACATTGGAATTTCGCTAACTCCTCCTAAGGCTTTCGTCCCACTGACACCAAATTTGCTCAGGCCAATCTACACTCCATGGCCATTCAAAGTTGTAAAAATCATGACGCTGCACCCCACGGTTTACGTTTTAGGGGGCGCCAAAGATGACCCAAATATACATTACAGTAGACAAAGTAGTTTTGCCCACTGAGTGGCGCCAAAGGGACTTGTCTGTGGAGTCTGTGAGTCACTATTGGCCGTTTTTGACTACTTTAGATTTTACCTTTATATTTCCTCTTACAAAATTTTTACCTTGCCTTGCCTGGTATCATTTTTTTCAGCACAACCTCACCTGTGTCAATTTACAGTTATTTTACCATTTTGACATACTATATTTACACATTGGACCCAAATTCACACACAAAACATAAAATCCGAGTGGAAAAAAGTAACGTTTTTACTGTGAAAACCACAAATATGTGTGATGAACTGTTTTTAAAACTTAAACTTCAAATAAAAATTGTAAACTTCAAAACATATGCAAATTTTTAACAAAGAACATAGTAATTCTTTCTTTCTTTCTTCTTTTTCCTCCCCTTTGAACTGGAAAATGGCCCACTTCCCACTGGCGAAAACTCATGAAATTTGGCAGGACGACCGGGCCAGGTGAAAAATTCGATATTCTGAAGTCGCCCAAACAAGAAAATACAAAATGGCTCCATAGCGCCCCCTAAGGTGGAAATTCACACTATTGACTGTCACGCCTGTACGCTTTGTCATATTGACACAAAAATTGACACACATATGTATCTCAATAAGATCTACAAAAAAGTCAGTGCGGCCGTATCTGTCAAAATTACGGTTAAAGGGTTATTTCGCATTTTTTGCCGATCCGCACACATTGGAATTTCGCTAACTCCTCCGAAGGCTTTCGTTCCACCGGCACCACATTTGCTCAGGCCAATCTACACCCCGTGGCCATTAAAAGTTATCAAAATCATGACGCTGCACCCCAAGGTTTAGGTTCTAGGGGGCGCCAAAGATAACACTAAAATCCACATATTTAAAAGTCTTATAACTTTTTATTTTTGTCCTCACTGGCCTCCAAGTTTTCTAGGATGATGCAATGTCCAGCCATCAACACATTTGTGAAGGAATTTTTACTCCCCAAAAGAGCGCCCCCCCATGGCAGGAGAAAAAAGTCCATTTTTCTTGTCCCCTAAGGTGAAAATACACATTGTTGAGTGTCACGCCTATACGCTTTGTCAAAATGACACAAAAATTGACACGCACATGTAACTCAATAAGATCTACGAAAAAGTCAATGCGCGCGTATCTGTCAAATGTACGGTTAAAGGGTTATTCCGCATTTTTTGCCGATCCGCAAACATTGGAATGTGGCTAACTCCTCCTAAGGCTTTCGTTCCACCGGCACCACATTTGCTCAGGACAATCTACACCCCATGGCCATTAAAAGTTATTCAAATCATGACGCTGCACCCCACGGTTTAGGTTCTAGGGGGCGCCAAAGATAACCCTAAAATCCACATATTTCAAAGTCTTATAACTTTTTATTTTTGTCCTCACTGGCCTCCAAGTTTTCTAGGATGATGCAATGTCCAGCCATCAACACATTTGTGAAGGAATTTTTACTCCCCAAAAGAGCGCCCCCCATGGCAGGAGAAAAAAGTCCATTTTTTCTTGTCCCCTAAGGTGAAAATACATATTGTTGAGATTCACGCCTATACGCTTTGTCATATTGACACAAAATTTGACAATCACGTGCCTTGCCTGGTATCATTTTTTTCAGCACAACCTCACCTGTGCGAATTTACAGTTATTTTATCATGTTGACATACTGAATTTACACAATGGACCCAAATTCACACACAAAACATAAAATCCGAGTGGAAAAAAGTAACATTTTTACTGTGAAAACCACAAATATGTGTGATGAACTGTTTTTAAAACTTAAACTTCAAATAAAAATTGTAAACTTCAAAACATATGCAAATTTTTAACAAAGAACATAGTGATTTACACTATTTTCATCAAAATGCAGGCAATGGCCCAGGCGTTCTTTGTAAAATTATTTACAAAACACTGTATAGTCTCACAAATGTCACTTTTTATTTATGCCACTACAAAAAAACATGATGTAAATGATGCATGATGTAAAACATGATGTAAAAAACTTGTGTAGATCCTCCTCTATGTCAGTCCATGTGTAATTTTTCCATAATTCTTTGTTTTTTGGAGCATTTTTGTTAGTGTAACTGCAGATTGTGCTGACAGTGTCTATGGCACAAAAAAAAAAAAATTAAAATGCCTCAACATGAACCCCTGGTGGTCTCTGAGGGTGAAACCTGCTAACTGCTGCAGCTCTGTCAGCTTCAGTCTCCCATGCAGAGCTCTGAGCGCATGTGTGGCTCTGCACCCTTAGCAGCGTTGCTAACTCCTCAGTAAGGAAAGCCTGCTTCATGTCAGAGTCTCTAAACTCCAGAAGAAGTCGATAAAAGTCCCTTTCTTTCTAAAAAAAGTCGTTAGGGGGTCTGAAAAGTCATTGAATCTAACAACAAAGTCGCTAGGTTTGCAACTACGTTTCCCAGACTGCATCCCTGCTGAGAGTCCCTCCCTCCCTTCTCATGTTGCAGGAAGAACGTAAGCGCCCGCCCCTTGTCAATCAGTCACCATATAATTTTGGATTGGTTGTTGTGGTGAAGTTTTCCACCAATAGGAGAGATGTTGTGGTGTGTTTTTTTTTTCTTTTGGCAAACCTTTTCCGCCTGTAAGACCTGTCGCTAATGTCTGCATGCTATGTTTTCCTGTCTCATACAGCGCGATCGAGCGCCGAACGTGATCAAAATAAGCAGAAAAAAAGTATCGCGGACATAATTTATCATAACTCTGGTTTTATTTGGCCTATCAACACAATTTAAAAACTGGTATATAGGTTGAGCTCCTCACTTTTGAGATAAGTTGAAACGGAGAGTCAACGAGGCTCCGTCTTGCAGCTACATCCGATTAAATATGTCATGTGACTTGAACGCACACACAGACACACACACACGCACACACACACACACACACACACACACACACACACACACACACACACACACACACACACACACTCAGAGTCTGGTTTTTAGCACCTGCAAAAACATGCTATTTACATATTTGACAAGAATGCAGAGGCTCCTTTTGCCCCTGAAAAAAATCAAATTTCAAACACAACTTGATTGGTCATTTCTCCAAAAGACAACCATGAAGCTCCATCCAAACCTGAAGCAGGCAGTTGGTGCATGTGTACAGTAACCTGAGGGGAGTGAGGTGAGTGCTTCTGAGGAGAACATGAGCAGTGAAGATTCACCTTGGAGCTAGAACAGAGACATGCACATGATTATACAGGGGCAGGGGCTCAAGTTTTTTCCAGTCGTTTATACAATATGGAAATTAATGTGAAATTAAAACACAAAGTATTAATAGAAAGGTAATGACTGTCCTGTGTAGGTGACAGTGATATCCAATAGGCTAGGCACTCACGAGGCTGGCTGTGGCAAGTGTAAGTGAAAGCAACACGCACTGGCAGGAAGAACAGCAAACGCCGATGAAGGAAAAGGGTCTTTGCAGTGATGGGCGTTACCGGAGAGGGCGATGGCCAGAGGACACAAATGGGACGGGGAGGCAGCACGTTGGGGGGGGACGCGACACGGCTCGGGCCCGCAAGTGCCCCAACGGGGTCCTAGTTATTTTTCCTCCGCTTTAAACTGGAAAATGGCCCACTTCCCACTGGCGAAAACTCAGGAAATTTGGCAGGACGACCGGGCCTGGTGAAAAATTTGATATTCTGAAGTCGCCCAAACAAAAAAATGAAAAATGGCTCCATAGCGCCCCCTATGGTGAAAACTCACCTGACGCCTGTACGCTTTGTCAAAATGACACAAAAATTGACACACACATGTATCTCAATACGATCTACAAAAAAGTCAGTGTGGGCGTATCTGTCAAATGTACGGTTAAAGGGTTATTTCGCATTTTTTGCCGATCCGCACACATTGGAATTTCGCTAACTCCTCCGAAGGCTTTCGTTCCACCGGCACCAAATTTGCTCAGGCCAATCTACACCCCATGGCCATTCAAAGTTGTACAAATCATGACGCTGCACCCCACGGTTTACGTTGTAGGGGGCGCCAAAGATAACCCAAAAATCCACATTCTTAAAAGTCTTATAACTTTTTATTTTTGTCCTCACTGGCCTCCAAGTTCTCTAGGATGATGCAATGTCCAGCCATCAACACATTTGTGAAGGAATTTTTACTCCCCAAAAGAGCGCCCCCCCATGGCAGGAGAAAAAAGTCCATTTTTTCTTGTCCCCTAAGGTGAAAATACACATTGTTGAGTGTCACGCCTGTACGCTTTGTCATATTGAAACAAAATTTGATAATCACGTGTATCTCAATAAGATCTACGAAAAAGTCAATGTGCACGTGTCTGCAAAATGTACGGTTAAAGGGCTATTTCGCATTTTTGGTTGATTCGCACACATTGGAATGTGGCTAACTCCTCCTAAAGCTTTCGTTCCACCGGCACCAAATTTGCTCAGGCCAATCTACACCCCATGGCCATTAAAAGTTGTACAAATCATGACGCTGCACCCCACGGTTTACGTTCTAGGGGTCGCCAAAGATAACCCAAAAATCCACATTCTTAAAAGTCTTATAACTTTTCATTTTTGTCCTCACTGGCTTCAAAGTTTTCTAGGATGATGCAATGTCTAGCCATCAACACATTTGTGAAGGAATTTTTTCTCCCTAAAAGAGTGCCCCCCCATGGCAGGAGAAAAAGTCAAGTTTTTCCTGCCCATCGCTCAATGGCTCAAACACATCGCTCTCTCGGAAAAAAACGAAAGGAGGAGGAACTTGCCATTTGGATATATCCTAGCTGTGTTTGTGCCCTCACTCATGGTCCAGACTTTTTTCAAATAGGACATGTAGTTTGTCTGCAGCAAGCGTTTTGGTAGAAACTGCGCCTCCCATTCATTATAATGGTAAATGACCACAGACAAGTGCGCACACCATCGTTGAACCTTGAGTGTGACGCGATCGGGAGGGAGAGGCGGTCGTGTTGGGGGCGGCGTGACACAGCTCGGGCCCGCCAGTGCCCCAACGGGGCCCTAGTTAGGGCCCGAGCGTAGCTGCTAAGCAGCTGCGAGAGCCCTCTTGTTCCTGCATGTTTCCTTCTTTTGTTATTAGGGCCCGAGCGTAGCTGCTAAGCAGCTGCGAGAGCCCTCTTGTTCCTGTAGTTTCCTTCTTTTGTTATTATTATTATTATTTTTCCTCCCCTTTGAACTGGAAAATGGCCCACTTCCCACTGGCGAAAACTCATGAAATTTGGCAGGACGACCGGGCCTGGTGAAAAATTTGATATTCCGAAGTCGCCCAAACAAGAAAATGCAAAATGGCTCCATAGCGCCCCCTAAGGTGAAAATTCACACTATTCACTGTCACGCCGGTACGCTTTGTCAAAATGACACAAAAATTGACACACACATGTATCTCAATAAGATCTACAAAAAAGTCAGTGCGGGCGTATCTGTCAAATGTACGGTTAAAGGGTTATTTCGCATTTTTTGCCGATCCGCACACATTGGAATTTCGCTAACTCCTCCGAAGGCTTTCGTTCCACCGGCACCACATTTGCTCAGGCCAATCTACACCCCATGGCCATTAAAAGTTATTCAAATCATGACGCTGCACCCCACGGTTTAGGTTCTAGGGGGCGCCAAAGATAACCCTAAGATCCACATATTTAAAAGTCTTATAACTTTTTATTTTTGCCCTCACTGGCCTCCAAGTTTTCTAGGATGATGCAATGTCCAGCCATCAACACATTTGTGAAGGAATTTTTACTCCCCAAAAGAGCGCCCCCCCATGGCAGGAGAAAAAAGTCCATTTTTTCTTGTCCCCTAAGGTGAAAATACACATTGTTGAGTGTAACACCTGTACGCTTTGGCAAAATGACACAAAAATTGACATACACATGTATCTCAATAAGATCTACGAAAAAGTCAATGCGCGCGTATCTGTCAAATGTACAGTTAAAGGGTTATTCCGCATTTTTTGCCGATCCGCACACATTGGAATTTCGCTAACTCCTCCGAAGGCTTTTGTTCCACCGGCACCACATTTGCTCAGGCCAATCTACACCCCATGGCCATTAAAAGTTATTCAAATCATGACGCTGCACCCCACGGTTTAGGTTCTAGGGGGCGCCAAAGATAACCGTAAAATCCACATATTTAAAAGTCTTATAACTTTTTATTTTTGTCCCCACTGGCCTCCAAGTTTTCTAGGATGATGCAATGTCCAGCCATCAACACATTTGTGAAGGAATTTTTACTCGCCAAAAGAGCGCCCCCCCATGGCAGGAGAAAAAATTCCTTTTTTTCTTGTCCACTAAGGTGAAAATACACATTGTTGAGTGCTACGCCTGTATGTTTTGTCGTATTGACACAAAATTTTACATACACGTGTATTTCAATAAGATCTTCGAAAAAGTCAATGGCCACGTATCTGTAAAATGTACGGTTAAAGGGTTATTTCGCATTTTTTGCAGATTCGCACACATTGGAATTTCGCTAACTCCTCCGAAGGCTTTCGTTCCACCGGCACCACATTTGCTCAGGCCAATCTACACCCCATGGCCATTAAAAGTTATTCAAATCATGACGCTGCACCCCACGGTTTAGGTTCTAGGGGGCGCCAAAGATAACCCTAAAATCCACATATTTAAAAGTCTTATAACTTTTTATTTTTGTCCCCACTGGCCTCCAAGTTTTCTAGGATGATGCAATGTCCAGCCATCAACACATTTGTGAAGGAATTTTTACTCGCCAAAAGAGCGCCCCCCCATGGCAGGAGAATAAAGTCAAGTTTTTCCTGTTCATCATTCAATGGCTCAAACGCACTGCTCTCGGCAAAAGCGAAAAGAGGAGCAACTTGCCATTTGGATATATCTTAGCTGTGTTTGTGCCTTCACTCATGGTCCAGACTTTTTTCAAATAGGACATGGAGTTTTTCTGCAGCGAGCGTTTTGGTAGAAACTGCGCCTCCCGTTCATTATAATGGTAAATGACCACAAACAAGTGCGCACACCATCTTTGGACCTTGAGTGTGACGCGATCGGGTGGGGGAGGCGGTCCCGCTGGGGGCGGCGTGACACGGCTCGGGCCCGCCAGTGCCCCAACGGGGCCCTAGTTAGGGCCCGAGCGTAGCTGCTAAGCAGCTGCGAGAGCCCTCTTGTTCCTGATGGATTCTTCTTTCGTTATTTTTCCTCCGCTTTAAACTGGAGAATGGCCCACTTCCCACTGGCGAAAACTCAGGAAATTTGGCAGGACGACCGGGCCTGGTGAAAAATTTGATATTCTGAAGTCGTCCAAACAAAAAAATGAAAAATGGCTCCATAGCGCCCCCTATGGTGAAAACTCACCTGATGCCTGTACGCTTTGTCAAAATGACACAAAATTTGACACACATGTGTATCTCAATAAGATCTACGAAAAAGTCAGTGCGGGCGTATCTGTCAAATGTACGGTTAAAGGGCTATTTTGCATTTTTTGCCGATTCGCACACATTGGAATGTGGCTATCTCCTCCTAAGGCTTTCGTCCCACCGATACCAAATTTGCTCAGGGCAATCTACACCCCATGCCCATTCAAAGTTGTAAAAATCATGCCGCTGCACCCCACGGTTTACGTTCTAGGGGGCGCCAAAGATGACCCAAAAATCCACATTCTTAAAAGTCTTTTTGGTCACTGCAGGAGTACAGAGTACTGCAGGATACACACACATATATACACACACACACACACACACACACACACACACACACACACACTCAGAGTCTGTTTTTTAGCACCTGCAAAAACATGCTGTTTACATATTTGACAACAATGCAGAGGCTTCCTTTTGCCCCTGAAAAAAATCAAATTTCAAACACAACTTGACTGTTCATTTCTCCAAATGACAACCATGAAGCTCCATCCAAACCTGAAGCAGGCAGTTGGTGCATGTGTACAGTAACCTGAGGGGAGTGAGGTGACTGCTTCTGAGGAGAACATGAGCAGTGAAGATTCACCTTGGAGCGAGAACAGGGACGTGCACATGATTATACAGGGGCAGGGGCTCAAGTTTTTTCCAGTCGTTTATACAATATGGAAATTAATGTGAAATTAAAAAACAAAGTATTAATAGAAAGGTAATGACTGTCCTGTGTAGGTGACAGTGATATCCAATAGGCTAGGCACTCACGAGGCTGGCTGTGGCAAGTGTAAGTGAAAGTGAAAGCAACACGCACTGGCAGGAAGAACAGCAAACCCCGATGAAGGAAAAGGGTCTTTGCAGTGATGGGCGTTACCAGAGAGGACGATGGCCAGAGGACGCGAATGGGACGGGGAGGCAGCGCGTTGGGGGGGGGGGGCGCGACACAGCTCGGGCCCGCCAGTGCCCCAACGGGGCCCTAGTTATTATTTTTCCTCCCCTTTAAACTGGAAAATGGCCCACTTCCCACTGGCGAAAACTCAGGAAATTTGGCAGGACGACCGGGCCTGGTGAAAAATTCGATATTCTGAAGTCGCCCAAACAATACAATGCAAAATGGCTCCATAGCGCCCCCTAAGGTGAAAAATTCACCTGACGCCTGTACGCTTTGTCAAAATTACACAAAAATTGACACACACATGTATCTCAATAAGATCTACAAAAAAGTCAGTGCAGGCGTATCTGTCAAATGTACGGTTAAAGGGTTATTGCGCATTTTTTGCCGATCCGCACACATTGGAATTTCGCTTACTCCTCCGAAGGCTTTCGTTCCACCGGCACCACATTTGCTCAGGCCAATCTACACCCCATGGCCATTAAAAGTTATTCAAATCATGACGCTGCACCCCACGGTTTAGGTTCTAGGGGGCGCCAAAGATAACCCTAAAATCCACATATTTCAAAGTCTTATAACTTTTTATTTTTGCCCTCACTGGCCTCCAAGTTTTCTAGGATGATGCAATGTCCAGCCATCAACACATTTGTGAAGGAATTTTTACTCCCCAAAAGAGCGCCCCCCCATGGCAGGAGAAAAAAGTCCATTTTTTCTTGTCCCATAAGGTGAAAATTCACACTATTGACTGTCACGCCTGTACGCTTTGTCAAAATTACACAAAAATTGACACACACATGTATCTCAATAAGATCTACAAAAAAGTCAGTGCGGGCGTATCTGTCAAATGTACGGTTAAAGGGTTATTGCGCATTTTTTGCCGATCCGCACACATTGGAATTTCGCTAACTCCTCCGAAGGCTTTCGTTCCACCGGCACCACATTTGCTCAGGCCAATCTACACCCCATGGCCATTAAAAGTTATTCAAATCATGACGCTGCACCCCACGGTTTAGGTTCTAGGGGGCGCCAAAGATAACCCTAAAATCCACATATTTAAAAGTCTTATAACTTTTTATTTTTGTCCTCTCTGGCCTCCAAGTTTTCTAGGATGATGCAATGTCCAGCCATCAACACATTTGTGAAGGAATTTTTACTCCCCAAAAGAGCGCCCCCCCATGGCAGGAGAAAAAAGTCCATTTTTTCTTGTCCCATAAGGTGAAAATACACATTGTTGACTGTCATACCTGTATGCTTTGTCATATTGACACAAAATTTGACACACACATGTATCTCAATAAGATCTACGAAAAAGTCAATGCGCGCGTATCTGTAAAATGTACGGTTAAAGGGCTATTTTGCATTTTTTGCCGATTAGCACACATTGGAATGTGGCTAACTCCTCCTAAGGCTTTCGACCCACTGACACCAAATTTGCTCAGGCCAATCTACACCCCATGGCCATTCAAAGTTTTAAAAATCATGACGCTGCACCCCACGGTTTACGTTCTAGGGGGCGCCAAAGATGACCCAAATATCCACATTCTTAAAAGAATCCACATCCCCCCCTCCCATCCCCCATCCCCCATCCCCCATGGCAGGAGAAACAGTCAAGTTTTTCCTGCCCATCACTCAATGGCTCAATCGCATCGCTCTCCCGGCAACACCGTAACGAGGAGCAACTTGCCGTTTGGATATATCCTAGCTGTGTTTGTGCCCTCACTCATGGTCCAGACTTTTTTCAAATAGGACATGTAGTTTGTCTGCAGCGAGTGTTTTGGTAGAAACTGCGCCTCCCATTCATTATAATGGGAAATGACCACAGACAAGTGCGCACACCATCTTTGGACCTTGAGTGTGACACGATCGGGAGGGGGAGGCGGTCGCACTGGGGGCGGCGCAACGTGGCTCGGGCCCGCCAGTGCCCCAACGGGGCCCTAGTTAGGGCCCGAGCGTAGCTGCTAAGCAGCTGCGAGAGCCCTATTATTCCCCAAGTGGTTTTTCTTTGTTTCTTTAGGGCCCGAGCGTAGCTGCTAAGCAGCTGCGAGAGCCCTCTTGTTCCTGCATGTTTCCTTCTTTCGTTATTATTTTTCCTCCGCTTTAAACTGGAAAATGGCCCACTTCCCACTGGCGAAAACTCAGGAAATTTGGCAGGACGACCGGGCCTGGTGAAAAATTCGATATTCTGAAGTCGCCCAAACAATAAAATGCAAAATGGCTCCATAGCGCCCCCTAAGGTGAAAATTCACATGACGGCTGTACGCTTTGTCATATTGACACAAAAATTGACACACACATGTATCTCAATAAGATCTACAAAAAAGTCAGTGCGGGTGTATCTGTCAAATGTACGGTTAATGGGTTATTTTGCATTTTTTGCAGATCTGCACACATTGGAATTTCGCTAACTCCTCCGAAGGCTTTCGTTCGACCGGCACCACATTTGCGCAGGCCAATCTACCCCCCATGGCCATTAAAAGTTGTACAAATCATGACGCTGCACCCCACGGTTTACGTTCTAGGGGGCGCCAAAGATAACCCAAAATCCACATTCTTAAAAGTCTTATAACTTTTTATTTTTGTCCTCACTGCCCTCCAAGTTTTCTAGGATGATGCAATGTCCAGCCATCAACACATTTGTGAAGGAATTTTTACTCCCCAAAAGAGCGCCCCCCCATGGCAGGAGAAAAAAGTCCTTTTTTTCTTGTCCCCTTACATGAAAATACACATTGTTGAGTGTCACGCCTGAACGCTTTGTCATATTGACACAAAAATTGACAATCATGTGTATCTCAATTAGATCTACGAAAAAGTCAAAAAGCGCGTATCTGTATAATGTACGGTTAAAGGGCTATTTCGCATTTTTTGCCGATTCGCACACTTTGGAATGTGGCTATCTCCTCCTAAGACTTTCGTCCCACCGATACCAAATTTGCTCAGGGCAATCTACACCCCATGCCCATTCAAAGTTGTAAAAATCATGACGCTGCACCCCACGGTTTACGTTCTAGGGGGCGCCAAAGATGACCCAAAAATCCACATTCTTAAAAGTCATTTTGGCCACTGCAGGAGTACAGAGTACTGCAGTTCTAGGGGGCGCCAAAGATGACCCAAAAATCCACATTCTTAAAAGTCTTTTTGGCCACTGCAGGAGTACAGAGTACTGCAGGATACACACACATACACACACACACACACACACACACACACACACACACACACACACACACACACACACACACTCAGAGTCTGTTTTTTAGCACCTGCAAAAACATGCTGTTTACATATTTGACAAGAATGCAGAGGCTTCCTTTTGCCCCTGAAAAAAATCAGATTTCAAACACAACTTGACTGTTCATTTCTCCAAAAGACAACCATGAAGCTCCATCCAAACCTGAAGCAGATAGTTGGTGCATGTGTACAGTAACCTGAGGGGAGTGAGGTGACTATTTCTGAGGAGAACATGAGCAGTGAAGATTCACCTTGGAGCTAGAACAGGGACGTGCACATGATTATACAGGGGCAGGGGCTCAAGTTTTTTCCAGTCATTTATACAATATGGAAATTAATGTGAAATTAAACCACAAATATGTGTGATGAACTGTTTTTAAAACTTAAACTTCAAATAAAAATTGTAAACTTCAAAACATATGCAAATTTTTAACAAAGAACATAGTAATTTACCTCTATTTACATCAAAATGCAGGCAATGGCCCAGGCGTTCTTTGTAAAATTATTTACAAAACACTGTATAGTCTCACAAATGTCACTTTTTATTTATGCCACTACAAAAAAACATGATGTAAATGATGCATGATGTAAAACATGATGTAAAAAACTTGTGTAGATCCTCCTCTATGTCAGTCCATGTGTAATTTTTCCATAATTCTTTGTTTTTTGCAGCATTTTTGTTAGTGTAACTGCAGATTGTGCTGACAGTCTATGGCAAAAAAAACAAAAACTGAAAATGCCTCAACATGAACCCCTGGTGGTCTCTGAGGGTGAAACCTGCTAACTGCTGCAGCTCTGTCAGCTTCAGTCTCCCATGCAGAGCTCGGAGCGCATGTGTGGCTCTGCACCCTTAGCAGCGTTGCTAACTCCTCAGTAAGGAAAGCCTGCTTCATGTCAGAGTCTCTAAACTCCAGAAGAAGTCGATAAAAGTCCCTTTCTTTCAAAAAAGTCGTTAGGGGGTCTGAAAAGTAATTGAATCTAACAACAAAGTCGCTAGGTTTGCAACTACGTGTCCCAGACTGCATCCCTGCTGAGAGTCCCTCCCTCCCTTCTCATGTTGCAGGAAGAACGTAAGCGCCCGCCCCTTGTCAATCAGTCACCATATAATTTTGGATTGGTTGTTGTGGTGAAGTTTTCCACCAATAGGAGAGATGTTGTGGTGTGTTTTTTTTTTCTTTTGGCAAGCCTTTTCCGCCTGTAAGACCTGTCGCTAATGTGTGCATGCTATGTTTTCCTGTCTCATACAGCGCGATCGAGCGCCGAACGTGATCAAAATAAGCAGAAAAAAAGTATCGCGGACATAATTTATCATAACTCTGGTTTTATTTGGCCTATCAACACAATTTAAAAACTGGTATATAGGTTGAGGTCCTCACTTTTGAGATAAATTGAAACGGAGAGTTAACGAGGCTCCGTATTGCAGCTACATCCGGTTAAATATGTCATGTGACTTGAACGCTGGGGAGCGTCAATCGAATCGAATCAAACCTAACTCTCAGATGAATCTTCAAAATTCACCTCAGAAATATGCTTATTATTCTTCTCAGAGTACTGCAGGATACACACACACACACACACAGACACACACACGCACACACACACACACAGACACACACACACACACACACACACACACACACACACACACACACTCAGAGTCTGTTTTTTAGCACCTGCAAAAACATGCTATTTACATATTTGACAAGAATGCAGAGGCTTCCTTTTGCCCCTGAAAAAAATCAAATTTCAAACACAACTTGACTGCTCATTTCTCCAAAAGACAACCATGAAGCTCCATCCAAACCTGAAGCAGGCAGTTGGTGCATGTGTACAGTAACCTGAGGGGAGTGAGGTGACTGCTTCTGAGGAGAACATGAGCAGTGAAGATTCACCTTGGAGCTAGAACAGGGACGTGCACATGATAATACATGGGCAGGGGCTCAAGTTTTTTCCAGTTGTTTATACAATATGGAAATTAATGTGAAATTAAAAAACAAAGTATGACTGTCCTGTGTAGGTGACAGTGATATCCAATAGGCTAGGCACTCACGAGGCTGGCTGTGGCAAGTGTAAGTGAAAGCAACACGCACTGGCAGGAAGAACAGCAAACGCCGATGAAGAAAAAGGGTCTTTGCAGTGATGGGCGTTACCAGAGAGGGCGATGGCCAGAGGACACGAATGGGACGGGGAGGCAGCGCGTTGGGGACGGGGGGGGGGGGGGGGGCGACGCGGCTCGGGCCCGCCAGTGCCCCAACGGGGCCCTAGTTTTTAGGGCCCGAGCGTAGCTGCTAAGCAGCTGCGAGAGCCCTCTTGTTCCTGCATGTTTCCTTCTTTTGTTATTATTATTATTATTATTTTTCCTCCCCTTTGAACTGGAAAATGGCCCACTTCCCACTGGCGAAAACTCATGAAATTTGGCAGGACGACCGGGCCTGGTGAAAAATTTGATATTCCGAAGTCGCCCAAACAAGAAAATGCAAAATGGCTCCATAGCGCCCCCTAAGGTGAAAATTCACACTATTGACTGTCACGCCTGTATGTTTTGTCAAAATGACACAAAAATTGACACACACATGTATCTCAATAAGATCTACAAAAAAGTCAGTGCGGGCGTATCTGTCAAATGTACGGTTAAAGGGTTATTTCGCATTTTTTGCCGATCCGCACACATTGCAATTTCGCTAACTCCTCCGAAGGCTTTCGTTCCACCGGCACCACATTTGCTCAGGCCAATCTACACCCCATGGCCATTAAAAGTTATTCAAATCATGATGCTGCACCCCACGGTTTAGGTTCTAGGGGGCGCCAAAGATAACCCTAAGATCCACATATTTAAAAGTCTTATAACTTTTTATTTTTGCCCTCACTGGCCTCCAAGTTTTCTAGGATGATGCAATGTCCAGCCATCAACACATTTGTGAAGGAATTTTTACTCCCCAAAAGAGCGCCCCCCCATGGCAGGAGAAAAAAGTCCATTTTTTCTTGTCCCCTAAGGTGAAAATACACATTGTTGAGTGTAACACCTGTACGCTTTGGCAAAATGACACAAAAATTGACACACACATGTATCTCAATAAGATCTACGAAAAAGTCAATGCGCGCGTATCTGTCAAATGTACGGTTAAAGGGTTATTCCGCATTTTTTGCCGATCCGCACACATTGGAATTTCGCTAACTCCTCCGAAGGCTTTCGTTCCACTGGCACCACATTTGCTCAGGCCAATCTACACCCCATGGCCATTAAAAGTTATTCAAATCATGACGCTGCACCCCACGGTTTAGGTTCTAGGGGGCGCCAAAGATAACCGTAAAATCCACATATTTAAAAGTCTTATAACTTTTTATTTTTGTCCCCACTGGCCTCCAAGTTTTCTAGGATGATGCAATGTCCAGCCATCAACACATTTGTGAAGGAATTTTTACTCGCCAAAAGAGCGCCCCCCCATGGCAGGAGAAAAAAGTCCATTTTTTCTTGTCCACTAAGGTGAAAATACACATTGTTGAGTGCTACGCCTGTATGTTTTGTCGTATTGACACAAAATTTTACATACACGTGTATTTCAATAAGATCTTCGAAAAAGCCAATGGCCACGTATCTGTAAAATGTACGGTTAAAGGGTTATTTCGCATTTTTGGCAGATTCGCACACATTGGAATTTCGCTAAATCCTCCGAAGGCTTTCGTTCCACCGGCACCACATTTGCTCAGGCCAATCTACACCCCATGGCCATTAAAAGTTATTCAAATCATGACGCTGCACCCCACGGTTTAGGTTCTAGGGGGCGCCAAAGATAACCCTAAAATCCACATATTTAAAAGTCTTATAACTTTTTATTTTTGTCCTCACTGGCCTCCATGTTTTCTAGGATGATGCAATGTCCAGCCATCAACACATTTGTGAAGGAGTTTTTTCTCGTTAAAAGAGCACCCCCCCATGGCAGGAGAATAAAGTCAAGTTTTTCCTGTTCATCATTCAATGGCTCAAACGCACTGCTCTCTCGGCAAAAGCGAAAGGAGGAGCAACTTGCCATTTGGATATATCTTAGCTGTGTTTGTGCCCTCACTCATGGTCCAGACTTTTTTCAAATAGGACATGGAGTTTTTCTGCAGCGAGCGTTTTGGTAGAAACTGCGCCTCCCGTTCATTATAATGGTAAATGACCACAAACAAGTGCGCACACCATCTTTGGACCTTGAGTGTGACGCGATTGGGTGGGGGAGGCGGTCGCGCTGAGGGCGGCGTGACATGGCTCGGGCCCGCCAGTGCCCCAACGGGGCCCTAGTGTTATTATTATTTTTCCTCCCCTTTGAACTGGAAAATGGCCCACTTCCCACTGGCGAAAACTCATGAAATTTGGCAGGACGACCGGGCCTGGTGAAAAATTTGATATTCCGAAGTCGCCCAAACAAGAAAATGCAAAATGGCTCCATAGCGCCCCCTAAGGTGAAAATTCACACTATTGACTGTCACGCCTGTACGCTTTGTCAAAATGACACAAAAATTGACACACACATGTATCTCAATAAGATCTACAAAAAAGTCAGTGCGGGCGTATCTGTCAAATGTACGGTTAAAGGGTTATTTCGCATTTTTTGCCGATCCGCACACATTGGAATTTCGCTAACTCCTCCGAAGGCTTTCGTTCCACCGGCACCACATTTGCTCAGGCCAATCTACACCCCATGGCCATTAAAAGTTATTCAAATCATGACGCTGCACCCCACGGTTTAGGTTCTAGGGGGCGCCAAAGATAACCCTAAGATCCACATATTTAAAAGTCTTATAACTTTTTATTTTTGCCCTCACTGGCCTCCAAGTTTTCTAGGATGATGCAATGTCCAGCCATCAACACATTTGTGAAGGAATTTTTACTCCCCAAAAGAGCGCCCCCCCATGGCAGGAGAAAAAAGTCCATTTTTTCTTGTCCCCTAAGGTGAAAATACACATTGTTGAGTGTAACACCTGTACGCTTTGGCAAAATGACACAAAAATTGACACACACATGTATCTCAATAAGATCTACAAAAAAGTCAATGCGCGCGTATCTGTCAAATGTACGGTTAAAGGGTTATTCCGCATTTTTTGCCGATCCGCACACATTGGAATTTCGCTAACTCCTCCGAAGGCTTTCGTTCCACCGGCACCACATTTGCTCAGGCCAATCTACACCCCATGGCCATTAAAAGTTATTCAAATCATGACGCTGCACCCCACGGTTTAGGTTCTAGGGGGCGCCAAAGATAACCCTAAAATCCACATATTTAAAAGTCTTATAACTTTTTATTTTTGTCCTCACTGGCCTCCAAGTTTTCTAGGATGATGCAATGTCCAGCCATCAACACATTTGTGAAGGAATTTTTACTCCCCAAAAGAGCGCCCCCCCATGGCAGGAGAAAAAAGTCCATTTTTTCTTGTCCCCTAAGGTGGAAATTCACACTATTGACTGTCACGCCTGTACGCTTTATCATATTGACACAAAAATTGACACACATATGTATCTCAATAAGATCTACAAAAAAGTCAATGCGCGCGTATCTGTCAAATGTACGGTTAAAGGGCTATTTTGCATTTTTTGCCGATTCGCACACATTGGAATGTGGCTAACTCCTCCTAAGGCTTTCGTCCCACTGACACCAAATTTGCTCAGGCCAATCTACACCCCATGGCCATTCAAAGTTTTAAAAATCATGACGCTGCACCCCACGGTTTACGTTCTAGGGGGCGCCAAAGATGACCCAAATATCCACATTCTTAAAAGAATCCACATCCCTTTCCCCCCCCCCTCCCATCCCCCATCCCCCATGGCAGGAGAAACAGTCAAGTTTTTCCTGCCCATCACTCAATGGCTCAATCGCATCGCTCTCCCGGCAACACCGTAACGAGGAGCAACTTGCCGTTTGGATATATCCTAGCTGTGTTTGTGCCCTCACTCATGGTCCAGACTTTTTTCAAATAGGACATGGAGTTTGTCTGCAGCGAGTGTTTTGGTAGAAACTGCGCCTCCCATTCATTATAATGGGAAATGACCACAGACAAGTGCGCACACCATCTTTGGACCTTGAGTGTGACGCGATCGGGAGGGGGAGGCGGTCGCACTGGGGGCGGCGCAACGCGGCTCGGGCCCGCCAGTGCCCCACCGGGGCCCTAGTTCTTTTTCCTCCCCTTTGAACTGGAAAATGGCCCACTTCCCACTGGCGAAAACTCATGAAATTTGGCAGGACGACCGGGCCTGGTGAAAAATTTGATATTCTGAAGTCGCCCAAACAATACAATGCAAAATGGCTCCATAGCGCCCCCTAAGGTGAAAAATTCACCTGACGCCTGTACGCTTTGTCAAAATGACACAAAAATTGACACACACATGTATCTCAATAAGATCTACAAAAAAGTCAGTGCGGGCGTATCTGTCAAATGTACGGTTAAAGGGTTATTGCGCATTTTTTGCCGATCCGCACACATTGGAATTTCGCTAACTCCTCCGAAGGCTTTCGTTCCACCGGCACCACATTTGCTCAGGCCAATCTACACCCCATGGCCATTAAAAGTTATTCAAATCATGACGCTGCACCCCACGGTTTAGGTTCTAGGGGGCGCCAAAGATAACCCTAAAATCCACATATTTAAAAGTCTTATAACTTTTTATTTTTGCCCTCACTGGCCTCCAAGTTTTCTAGGATGATGCAATGTCCAGCCATCAACACATTTGTGAAGGAATTTTTACTCCCCAAAAGAGCGCCCCCCCATGGCAGGAGAAAAAAGTCCATTTTTTCTTGTCCCATAAGGTGAAAATTCACACTATTGACTGTCACGCCTGTACGCTTTGTCAAAATTACACAAAAATTGACACACACATGTATCTCAATAAGATCTACAAAAAAGTCAGTGCGGGCGTATCTGTCAAATGTACGGTTAAAGGGTTATTGCGCATTTTTTGCCGATCCGCACACATTGGAATTTCGCTAACTCCTCCGAAGGCTTTAGTTCCACCGCCACCAAATTTGCTCAGGCCAATCTACACCCCATGGCCATTAAAAGTTATTCAAATCATGACGCTGCACCCCACGGTTTAGGTTCTAGGGGGCGCCAAAGATAACCCTAAAATCCACATATTTAAAAGTCTTATAACTTTTTATTTTTGTCCTCTCTGGCCTCCAAGTTTTCTAGGATGATGCAATGTCCAGCCATCAACACATTTGTGAAGGAATTATGTTTCCCTAAAAGAGCGCCCCCCCATGGCAGGAGAAAAAAGTCCATTTTTTCTTGTCCCATAAGGTGAAAATACACATTGTTGACTGTCATACCTGTATGCTTTGTCATATTGACACAAAATTTGACACACACATGTATCTCAATAAGATCTACGAAAAAGTCAATGCGCGCGTATCTGTAAAATGTACGGTTAAAGGGCTATTTTGTATTTTTTGCCGATTAGCACACATTGGAATGTGGCTAACTCCTCCTAAGGCTTTCGTCCCACTGAAACCAAATTTGCTCAGGCCAATCTACACCCCATGGCCATTCAAAGTTGTAAAAATCATGACGCTGCACCCCACGGTTTACGTTCTAGGGGGCGCCAAAGATGACCCAAATATCCACATTCTTAAAAGAATCCACATCCCCCCCCCCATCCCCCATCCCCCATCCCCCATGGCAGGAGAAACAGTCAAGTTTTTCCTGCCCATCACTCAATGGCTCAATTGCATTGCTCTCCCGGCAACACCGTAACGAGGAGCAACTTGCCGTTTGGATATATCCTAGCTGTGTTTGTGCCCTCACTCATGGTCCAGACTTTTTTCAAATAGGACATGTAGTTTGTCTGCAGCGAGTGTTTTGGTAGAAACTGCGCCTCCCATTCATTATAATGGGAAATGACCACAGACAAGTGCGCACACCATCTTTGGACCTTGAGTGTGACGCGATCGGGAGGGGGAGGCGGTCGCACTGGGGGCGGCGCAACGCGGCTCGGGCCCGCCAGTGCCCCAACGGGGCCCTAGTATATTAGTTATTCTTATATTTTTGAGGGAGGCTTTGGTTTTGTTGATAATTCTTTCTTTCTTTCTTCTTTTTCCTCCCCTTTGAACTGGAAAATGGCCAGCTTCCCACTGGCGAAAACTCATGAAATTTGGCAGGACGACCGGGCCTGGTGAAAAATTCGATATTCTGATGTCGCCCAAACAATAAAATGCAAAATGGCTCCATAGGGCCCCCTAAGGTGGAAATTCACACTATTGACTGTCACGCCTGTACGCTTTGTCATATTGACACAAAAATTGAAACAAATATGTATCTCAATAAGATCTACAAAAAAGTCAGTGCGGCCGTATCTGTCAAAATTACGGTTAAAGGGTTATTTCGCATTTTTTGCCGATCCGCACACATTGGAATTTCGCTAACTCCTCCGAAGGCTTTCGTTCCACCGGCACCACATTTGCTCAGGCCAATCTACACCCCGTGGCCATTAAAAGTTATCAAAATCATGACGCTGCACCCCAAGGTTTAGGTTCTAGGGGGCGCCAAAGATAACACTAAAATCCACATATTTAAAAGTCTTATAACTTTTTATTTTTGTCCTCACTGGCCTCCAAGTTTTCTAGGATGATGCAATGTCCAGCCATCAACACATTTGTGAAGGAATTTTTACTCCCCAAAAGAGCGCCCCCCCATGGCAGGAGAAAAAAGTCCATTTTTTCTTGTCCCCTAAGGTGAAAATACACATTGTTGAGTGTCACGCCTATACGCTTTGTCAAAATGACACAAAAATTGACACACACATGTAACTCAATAAGATCTACAAAAAAGTCCATGCGCGCGTATCTGTCAAATGTACAGTTAAAGGGTTATTCCGCATTTTTTGCCGATACGCACACATTGGAATTTCGCTAACTCCTCCGAAGGCTTTCGTTCCACCGGCACCACATTTGCTCAGGCCAATCTACACCCCATGGCCATTAAAATTTATTCAAATCATGATGCTGCACCCCATGGTTTAGGTTCTAGGGGGCGCCAAAAATAACCCAAAAATCCACATTCTTAAATGTTTTATAACTTTTTATTTTTGTCCTCACTGGCCTCCAAGTTTTCTAGGATGATGCAATGTCCAGCCATCAACACATTTGTGAAGGAATTTTTACTCCCCAAAAGAGCGCCCCCCCATGGTAGGAGAAAAAAGTCAATTTTTTCTTGTCCCCTTACATAAAAATACACATTGTTGAGTGTCACGCCTGAACGCTTTGTCATATTGACACAAAAATTGACAATCATGTGTATCTCAATTAGATCTACGAAAAAGTCAAAGAGCGCGTATCTGTATAATGTACGGTTAAAGGGCTATTTTGCATTTTTTGCCGATTCGCACACATTGGAATGTGGCTATCTCCTCCTAAGGCTTTCGTCCCACCGATACCAAATTTGCTCAGGGCAATCTACACCCCATGCCCATTCAAAGTTGTAAAAATCATGACGCTGCACCCCACGGTTTACGTTCTAGGGGGCGCCAAAGATGACCCAAAAATCCACATTCTTAAAAGTCATTTTGGCCACTGCAGGAGTACAGAGTACTGCAGTTCTAGGGGGCGCCAAAGATGACCCAAAAATCCACATTCTTAAAAGTCTTTTTGGCCACTGCAGGAGTACAGAGTACTGCAGGATACACACACATATACACACACGCCAACATACACACACACACACACACACACACACACACACACACACACACACACACACACACACACACAGACACACACACACACTCAGAGTCTGTTTTTTAGCACCTGCAAAAACATGCTGTTTACATATTTGACAAGAATGCAGAGGCTTCCTTTTGCCCCTGAAAAAAATCAAATTTCAAACACAACTTGACTGTTCATTTCTCCAAAAGACAACCATGAAGCTCCATTTCAAACCTGAAGCAGATAGTTGGTGCATGTGTACAGTAACCTGAGGGGAGTGAGGTGACTATTTCTGAGGAGAACATGAGCAGTGAAGATTCACCTTGGAGCTAGAACAGGGACGTGCACATGATTATACAGGGGCAGGGGCTCAAGTTTTTTCCAGTCATTTATACAATATGGAAATTAATGTGAAATTAAACCACAAATATGTGTGATGAACTGTTTTTAAAACTTAAACTTCAAATAAAAATTGTAAACTTCAAAACATATGCAAATTTTTAACAAAGAACATAGTAATTTACCTCTATTTACATCAAAATGCAGGCAATGGCCCAGGCGTCCTTTGTAAAATTATTTACAAAACACTGTATAGTCTCACAAATGTCACTTTTTATTTATGCCACTACAAAAAAACATGATGTAAATGATGCATGATGTAAAACATGATGTAAAAAACTTGTGTAGATCCTCCTCTATGTCAGTCCATGTGTAATTTTTCCATAATTCTTTGTTTTTTGCAGCATTTTTGTTAGTGTAACTGCAGATTGTGCTGACAGTGTCTATGGCACAAAAAAAAAATAAATTTAAAATGCCTCAACATGAACCCCTGGTGGTCTCTGAGGGTGAAACCTGCTAACTGCTGCAGCTCTGTCAGCTTCAGTCTCCCATGCAGAGCTCTGAGCGCATGTGTGGCTCTGCACCCTTAGCAGCGTTGCTAACTCCTCAGTAAGGAAAGCCTGCTTCATGTCAGAGTCTCTAAACTCCAGAAGAAGTCGATAAAAGTCCCTTTCTTTCTAAAAAAAAGTCGTTAGGGGGTCTGAAAAGTCATTGAATCTAACAACAAAGTCGCTAGGTTTGCAACTACGTGTCCCAGACTGCATCCCTGCTGAGAGTCCCTCCCTCGCTTCTCATGTTGCAGGAAGAACGTAAGCGCCCGCCCCTTGTCAATCAGTCACCATATAATTTTGGATTGGTTGTTGTGGTGAAGTTTTCCACCAATAGGAGAGATGTTGTGGTGTGTTTTTTTTTTCTTTTGGCAAGCCTTTTCCGCCTGTAAGACCTGTCGCTAATGTCTGCATGCTATGTTTTCCTGTCTCATACAGCGCGATCGAGCGCCGAACGTGATCAAAATAAGCAGAAAAAAAGTATCGCGGACATAATTTATCATAACTCTGGTTTTATTTGGCCTATCAACACAATTTAAAAACTGGTATATAGGTTGAGGTCCT